GCCTGAAAGTTGATCTTTATATACAAGCCTTGATTTGAATAATCACGTCTTTTTCGGAGGAGGAAAGTTTTCAATAGAATAATATTTTAAGACCCATTATTCTCCGAGAGGCTTATTAGTAGGAAGAACGTGAATAGCGCGTTAAAACATTACTTGCGTTGATAGTGATATGCCGAGTTTACATTTAAGCTTAGAATTCTTATTAATGATAGTTCAAACTGCATTCTATTTCCTTAAATAATATTTAATTATCTTCTGTTTTTTTCATTTAGGTGTTTACTTTTGTTATTGCTATTAAGCTGAGAGTTAAAAAGATTTTTTTTATGAAATAAAAGCATTATTAAAAGTTTTTGATTTCCTTGCAAATCTGTAGCTTGAGAGAGATTCCTTTACACTTCCTTAGAAGAGAATCCGTAAGTACTTTTAACCAAACATTATGCTCAACTAAAAAAGAATTAGTTATTAGTTTAACTTATGTAAAAAATATAGAGATATGGGGATATATATTATATATATATATCAATATGTATCCCAAGATATGCAGAGTATGTTAGCATTAGAAGGAATATAAAGTAGCTATTGTGATCAAAATAAGTCTGCATCAAATATTTTGTAATTTTTTTTAGTCTACATGTGCTCTTTTAAAATATATTCTAGCGTAAAAAATGATATTATATACATACAAATCTATGAATAGCAAATATCTGAAAATGGAGACAATTTGTTTCAAATAGTTTTTTAACAATAAATCATGTCTTTTCAATTTCTTGAATCTAAATAGCATTTTGATTTAAAAAGCTATTTTATACCCAAATAAAATCTAAGTAGTTTAAAAGATTTAAATGAGACATGTGCAAAATTATAATGCGAATTCAATTAATCAGTTCCATATTAATACAGTGCTAAAACTAAAGTTTTGGGTCTTATGAAATTTTTGTAAGTTTTCTTTGTAATTTTGGTAAAAACATTTTTTAATTTAGTAGAAATTTTTTTAAAGCAATGTGATGATATATGATAAAATGATAACGAAGAAATGTGGCTTTTGTTTTTAGGTTTCACAAGGTTAAAATACTCCTCGTCTGTACTATTTACTAACACGGTAATTGTTTGCAGATATTAAAAACATTGAATAATCTGTGTGTGCATGATATTGTATAAACACACATGATATTTTCCATATTGTTCAGAAATGTTTCCTACACATAAAAGTACTACTGCAGATCATTTCAATAACAGAACACACCTGGTACTCTGCGCATCCTTCATTTATATAATTTTACTAAAAATTTTGTACAATATGTGTTATCTGTACGTATTATATATTGTAAAGAAATGGAACAAATATTTCAATCAAATTAATATCGTATGGAATTAAGCAAACATTTTAAACAGCATTCTTTTTAAGGTATCCGAACACGATCAGAGTACTTTTGACAAAATATCATATTTAAACATTATAAAGGCTTTTTAGGACTCAATACCAATAAATACTAATATTTAACCAACAATATTTACAATAAATTGCCTGAATTTCGCAAAAATCACAATTATAAGTGAAATTTTAGCAATATGTTTGTAAAACTTCAAAACAATTAGAGAAAAAGGAATAAATTTATATTAGTAAAAGAATCACCAAAACAATCTACAGGCATTTATCTAGAGAATGTACTAAAATTATAATGTTTTATTACAAAATTTGAAATTTTAGAGCTGAATGAGTAAACGTTATAAGAAAAATCACGCCTTTATGAGACCATTATTTAAATAACAAGCCCTAACTCAAAAAAAATTCATACAATAAGAAATATTTTAGTACATTCTCTAGAAAATAGCATAAATATCAGGTTCAAAAAGTTTTATAGAAATACATTTCTAATATCTTGTGTGATCAGACTCGCTTTGATAGATTTCAAACAATTTAAATGCCTACTTCTGGTAGATCAAAGACCCACTTCCGATTTTTCTAACTTAATAAAATTGATTGTAACTTGGCGTCTAAGAAGTATAGAATCAAAACAAAGTATGTTTTGTACAGCCAAAAGACAGTTGTATTCAATAAAATAGAAAACAAAAATGTCGGTCTTGTTCGAATTTGGTCATTTTCAACGTGTTCGGATACCTCAAACTTGTTATTCATTAACTTTTGTTAATTACGAGATGAGTGCAATTGTGTTTGTAAGAAGTGTTTGTGCACTTAAATTTAGGAACTTCTAGACCAAGGGTGGCCAACTCGTGGCACGCGTGCCACTGTGTGGCTCAGCGGAGTTGTAACAGTTGCACGCGAAGACTTATTCAAAAAAATTTGAAAATATATTAAAAAATATTTTTTTTTTCAATTATATATATATATATATATATATATATATATATATATTAAATACAATTAATTAAATTAAGATGGAAAATTATCATGTAAAGAATACTCCATTTTTATGTGCACTGGCATTCAAAAGAAAACGTACTCGCGAGATTTTGAAATTTGAGGGAGCGCGTTTTAATATATCACAAAAAGAAAATAATGAATTGCCCAGTAGAGTGGTTGCTACTCAAGATTGAAAACTGGCTATGGGATTAAGCCTTTCTAACCGATATTATAGGACATTTAAATAATTTAAATTTAAGATTACAGAGAAAAAAAATCTTCCCACCTTTATAAGGATAGATATTTTTGTGAACAAACTTTTGCGGTTTTTTTTTCTTTCTATTTTGAAGAAAATAGATTAACACGTTTCACAGTAATGTAGTTACTAGCTCAGAGCTATAATAGATTTTAAAATTTAAAATTCATTTTGAAGGATTCCGAGATTCATCACTAAGCACAACCTTTTGCCAATCTGTGACATTCCACATTGATCTAGCTTGGCACCACTGTAGACGCAGTTGCCGATGTCCCGGTGTTAAAGGGAGTGCATGGAAAGGGCGCTTGGATTTAAGATTTGCTTCTGCAAGGTGTCTAGAAATTGTTTGCGGAACAATTCCTACGCCTACGTCTGCTGGAATCGTTGAACGAGTCACTGTGGGGTCCACAAGTGCTTGCCGCACGATCCTTCGATCCTCTATCCTCGTGGTCTTCCTGGTCGCTCCAGACCCGGTTTTCCGCGCGTGGGTACCTTCTCGTGTCCACTGCTCCCAACAATTTCTAACGGCACACACCGAACGATCCACCTGGCCGGCAACGCGGCGCGTCGACCAGCCTGCAGTTTACATCCCGATGATCAGGCCTCTCTCAAACTCGCTTAACTGTGAAAAATGTCTTCTAGCACGCTTACCTGGCATGTTTCGCTTACCAAAGTCTTCCTACAATCGGCGAGTAATCGTCACGTTTATGAATCTTCAAATTTGCGCTGGCTTATATAGCAACCTCTTCCTGATTGTAGCGCCACCTCGGTGTGTATGAGCATGCGTATTGGCACAAAACTTGGATCATTTGCATATCACATTACGCTGTACTTATTTGCAAAGTTTCGCGATTTTACTTAGCTTCCTTCTTGGGTCGCTATTTTCAATGTTCCTGAGTGTATGTTTGTGAACAAATGTTTTCTATCCGAACCTAATAAAATCATTATACCACTCAAAATTAATTGATATTCACCTAAAAGAACCTAAATTTTGCTAGCATCTTTAAAAACTAATCCTAATATAGATGACTTGGTGAAAAAACTACAAGTTCAATAGTCATATTAAGCATGTACTGACTGTTCAGTCATAAATTAGAATTAAATCTTTTAAGTTGCTCATTTTTATTTTATACCTAAAAAGTTTATTAGAAATAAAGCAAAAAAAATTATTAGCAATAAAACCTAAGTACATAGTGTATTATTTTTAAATTTTACTAATTAGACTTGCATAAAAAATATGCTATTGGCTTAAAAATGTCATATGTCAATAAGTAACCTTTTTTTCGCCTTTTTATTTCTTTTTTGTTTGTTGGGAAAGTTTGAAGTGGCTCGCATAATGATTTATTATCAGATAACACTTTCACCAGATTGACACTCTCACCAAAAATGTTGGCCATCCCTGTTCTAAACACTTATATTTTTACTAATCAAAAGTCAATTTTAACACAATCAATCTCATTTCACATGTTCTTCTTTTTTTTTTACTGTATATTTCTATTTAAAGAAACATAAAATTCAACAATTTAAAATGAGATATTTATTTTTCAATACCAAATTAATACCTAAAAAATTCTGAAATTTTGTTTCATCCAACTTATGAAAATGATTGTATCAAGTTATATCTCACTGGCATTCTTTTAAAAAATTTTGAATCATACAAAATTATTTTTGTACACTCACACGCATTTAGCAATATTGATATAAATATGATTTCATTTTTATAAATTTGAAATTGAGATTATTTTTATAATCTATTGTGACATATAATTATAACATTTTGTATAAGAATTTAATAACAAAATTAAATATGATTTTGTGTAAATTTCAACTTTTTAAAAATCTTTAATTTTCTAAATTCTTTTATATAAATATGCATTTTTGATAAAAACAAACTTGCTTTTTCGTGAGAGAGAGAGAATTGTATGCTTTCTCGATTAAATTATCATATAATAGTTTCGAATAAATTAACCTCAAACTCTTATAAAAAATGTATATACCTTATCATAAATTATTTATATAAAAATCATTCTCTTTTTACATCCTCCTCTATCGCGGTTACTGCTTCAATTCTTACAATTAGTTCACTCTCTCTCTCTCTCTATCTCTATCTATCTATCTATATATATATATATATATATATATATATATATATATATATATATATATATATATATATATATATATCTTGTTCAATTTTTAATCGTTAATAAGATACTTTCTATTCATCCACTCAAGTTCAAATATATTTTTATAACTTGTAGTGGATGACACTTGATGTTAATACATTTTTTCAAATATTAATTCATTAATTAAACTAAAAAATGAATAAATAGTAATTAACCAAAAATAATAGTCCAACAGCATATATAGGAAGGAAAATGGTTCGTTGTGTCTCTGAAAAGCAATGGATAGAGCGTTGGACTTCTAATCCAAAGTTCATGGGTTCGAATCCCACCTAAGAAGGCATAATTTCTGAGAATGTGTTTCCTTTTTCACCATGCTATTTTATTAGAATAATTGCATTTAATTAATGAATAAATAGTAACAAACAAACAAATAGTCCAACACTCTATATAAAAAGGAAAATGGTAAATTTGCGAGGAAAATCGCTTTCTGTTCTTCCACCTATTATTGTGATTCTGTCATATGTATATACATATTTATATTAATTGTAATTTTTCAATACAAAGTAGCTAAAATAAAAATTTTCTTTGTTGATCTAAGTAGAAATTGACTTTTAAATTTGTTTTTATATATTACTTGTTCTAATAAATTATCGTAAAGGTAAAGATATTTGAAGAGTTTGAAGGGAATTCGTGTAGGGGGACGATGCGCTTTAAATCTGTCGAATCTGAAACGTCCTCCCGTTGGTGTGGGGTGGAAGTTAGGAGAGGGGGGTGCCAGCTTGGGAGTCATCCTCGTCACTTGACCAGGGTTCAAAATTACGAGGTCCGTCACCAAAAGCCCTTGTGTAGCTGAGAATATGCGAAGTTAATGTTCACTCACTCATTGAAGTGAATTCCGTCTGTTTCATGTTTTCACTTATTATAAGAATTAGTTCAACTTTTTATCCTCACCGTGATAAATGATTTAAACTATCGTAAAATATTAGTTGGTGCCAGTATGCAAAAATACTCTTAGAATGAATTCTTAAGATCTTAAAATGTGCATTAATGTAAATTAAAAATTTACATTTTTAATTCATTAGTTTTAAATATCTTAAAAGTGTTGTTCGTATTTTCGAATAATGTATAAAATAAAGCATCAAGAATATATAGCCTTTGATTAGATCAAATTTTTTCTTATAGCTTTTAGAGGGGCGGGTCGGAGTGGTATTAACGTTGCTCTATAAAGCAACAATAGGGTATTTTTGAACCTTGGTGAAGTGAAGAGGATGAAACCTGAGCTAACACACCTTCCCTTCTTAACTATCATACCATACCAAAGTGAGGACTTGATGAAGGACAAATTTAAGGAGAACCCGCCCCTTTTACATGGATGGTCAGCAGTGGCACCAGGACTCGAACCTGTGATGCTCCGGACTCGAGTTCGTGACCACAACCACTAAGCTACAGCGGCCACGATTTCATTGGGAACAAACTGCCTTTCCAAAAACTACCTCCGATAATTTCGGTACATTGTCATTTTATGAATTCCCCACATACATAATTTTGATGTGCATCCAACAGACAGATATGTCAGTTTATTTGATATAACCTAAAAATATTAAAAATGCTATGGCATGCAGATTTTTGTAAGCAATTTAAATGTACAGCTATTCTTCGACTTGCGTCTGAAAGTTAATTTGTGGCCGCGGTAGCCGAGTGGTATAGGTATCGGACTGTGGCTTGCTTTGTCACAGGATCGAGCCCAGTACCACTAAAGACCCGCCGTGTAGGGCAGCGATGCACGTTAAATCTGTCGAGAGCTGAAACGTCCTCCCGTTGGTGTGGTGTGGTAGTTAGGAGAGGGGGGTGCCAGCTCAGGTGTCGTCCACGTCACTTGACCATGGTTCAAAATTACGTGGTCCGTCGCCAAAAGCCCTCGTGTAGCTGAACAGTGCGACGTTAATATTCAATCAATCAATCTGAAAGTTAATTTTATTCGTTAACTGCATTGTTATAAAAGTAAAGTAAATTTTTTTAAGTAATTTTTATCTTAAGAAAATTATCTTAAATACTGCTTATGATGTGTTTCAAATTCAAAGACCTTTAATGCCATGTATATATACACAAAGTTTATTTTTCCTTTATTCATTTACCTATACTTTTCTCTTCAACTTATTTTATTAAATATAATTTTTTTTTACATCAATGAAATTCTCTTAAATTTTTTATTTACAAGAAAAATTATCTGACCAAATAACCCCAAGAACTTATTTTTAGTAGCTTCATGAACATGCTTAATAAAAATAACTACTTTAAATAAACATAATTGCTTAAAAACCTAATAATTTAAGTCTATATAGGGCAAGAAAAGCACCGTTTTTTATAATTTGATATTTATGTATACCATATGAGCTATTAAAACGAAATTATACGTATAGCTCCGTGGCAATAAAATAATTCAATGATAGTTGCTTAAAAAGGAAATTAGGGATGGTGATCTGATATCCATTAATCGAAGAATCGATTTCTCGGGCCAAAAAAATCGATTTTTTAAATCAATATGTAGCCCTGAACCGATTCAGAGTGAATCGATATTTCATCTTAGAAAATCGAAATTCGATATTTTCTGTTTCGGTAAAAACCATAAAATTATTTATAATTAGTTGAATGTACTATCTTTAAAACCCGTAATATTACGGTGTTGGCGGTTAAAGGGTTAATTTACTGGGAAAAACAAAAAAACTGTATTTATCATTACGTTCACTCAATAGCCATGATTTATATGAGTATGGTTGGATCATCTGTTCCTTGTGAACGCTTTCTTTCGATTGCCGGCAACATCGCAAGTGATGAGCGGAACCCGCTTGGATCGCAGTACACTTGACAGACGGTTGTTTTTAAAAAGCTTACACATTAATCATTGGGAACTATAAACTATATTATCTATTTTCTAATCTTTTTAACGTAATAAATATATTTAGAAAATAAATGTCTTCTCTTATACCTGATACTCTTTGATAGGGTAATAAAAATAATTGTAATTGTCGAATACTCTGAACAAAAAAATTCAATGATTTTACTGATAAAAGATCGTTTATTATGGAATCTTTTTTTTTTCATAAAACGGATTTATATTTACATTGTAAATGCAGATTTGACAAAAAATCGATCTTTTAGACCTCGATTTTTAATGAATCGATTCATCAGGTTACGACAGTGCTTCTCAAACTTTCAATACTTTTTCCCCTTTTTTCAATCATAATTTTTATCGCGCCCCCCTTATACAATAATAATGTATTGAATGCAATAATGATGCACTTTGACTCTAAAGCTACAATATGATCTTAATTATAAACCATATAAATTAATAAGATAAGCATATTAAATTTTATATGTTACTTTTATAAGTAATATATATTTTTTTCTCGAATTTTTAAATTGGAACAATTGCAAAATGCGGTGGCTGCTTTGAAGACAAAATATAGATCTCAGCCAAATATAAAAATAGTACTCGGAGTGTCAATTTCTAATCATAAACATTCCTCATAAAAACTTTGCTTTGCAAGACAAGCCCATGGAAGTCTTTAATACTTATTAAACTTGCTCTTAATTTAGTATTAATAAAGTAGTTATAAAATACCTTGTGCAGCACTGATACATTAAAGTCTGAAGTGCCCGCTCTTCGCACGAGTTCATTTTTTGCAAAAAACTAAAACATTCTTGATATAATAGCTGAATTGTCAGGAGAGTAAACCCAAATGCGCGACAATGTTTACGAAAATTTAAAATGATATTTTGAAATGAATGCTCATAATATAATTAGTTTCAAGCGAACTGTAATTTTAAGCCTCACAGAATGAGCATTTAGAATTAATATTAAATAATGAAAAATAATATAAAATTCCGATGAAGAGAATAATTGTGTTACTTTTAAATATTTAATGCGAGAAAACTTCAAAATGTTTTATCCCGGGAGCACACGCACTTGATATTAACGTTAATGGTCTCACGGGGTGATTGAGTCACCCCAAACCTTTTTTTTTTATAATATAATTATTTTTATTGGACACGATACAAATCGGGACTCCAGTGAATAATTTAATTAAGAGAAAGTATACTTACCCCTATTTTCAAGGACTTTTCAATTTTTCTTTTGTAGCAAATAAACTGTTTTGCCTGAATTAACGATTTCATGATCTGTGTGCCCCGCGCGACCGCTTCCAGGTTAAAAGTGTATTTAATATATAATATAATGTTACTGCTAAAAGATTGTGTAAAACGTTTTTCATTATGCTTTATATGTTTGAGAGTACTCATAAAAATACATCTTGGCCAAGTAATCCTTCAAAGTGTGTGCTCTCTGTGATTTTCCAAATATCAAACGCTTTTACATGGAACTCCCCCCCACACAGAAATAAATTATTTACAACTTCCCTAAATGAGAAACAAACACACATAAGAAAGGAGTCATAACTAACTGTACCATTAGCTTAGAATGTCAAACAGATGTTGAGCAAATATATTCTGCTGCCTACAGTTTTATGTACAATATTTCATAACAGTGATGAATTTTTTATCTTCCTAAATTTTTTCGATTATGGGTCTGGGTTTTGTTTTTTAAATGAAAGAGTAGCATTTTAGGTTTAAAAAGAAAAGGTAATAAAAAATCTCTCATCATGGGATTACAGCATATCAAATAAAAGTTTTTTTTATTTGGTTATAGGATCAAAGATAGCTAATTAGGTATTGAAGAAGTTTTTATTTTTGATGACGTTATTTCGCCAGGGGATGTATATAAATTATATCAGAGTAAAAGTGCATTTTTTATTATGTCTGAAAGTATTTTCTTTTATTCATTCCAATAAATTATTTTTTTTAAAAATCTTTTATTTTCACTATGCCCGCGCCACCCTCGTAGGGTTATCGCCCCCCCAGGGGAGCGCGCCCCACAGTTTGAGAAACACTGGGTTACGATTCGAATCGATTTAAAAATCAATCTTTTTCGGAAAGAATCGCCATCCCTAAAGGAAATGCTCTCCTTCCGAAATATGTGTTTTGCTTCCAATTTCCCACGATCGAAATAAATTAAGTGTGAATTCAAGTTTAAATTATCGTTATTCTTTAGCACTTGAAGAACTATATATAGAGGAAGGACCTCTTACTTTAAATCTTAACCAATGAGTCAAAATAAACGATCTTTTACATTTATTTAGAAATAAAATTTGTCAGTGTTTTCTTTTATGCTATGGTATCCTTGCGGTCTTGATCGCAAACTTCGCGATCAGTGCCCATAGTCTTGGTCTAACAAAGATTTATGGTATGGTAAAAAAGATGCTGCAGCAGTTTAAGCGAAAC